GTCAAGTCAGGAGAACAGGCGAGTTGTGAGGAAAGAACCCGACTGTCAGTTCAGGAGGACAAGTGTGTGTTGAGAAGCATGCGAGCCAAAGGTTTTTCCAGTTGGAAACTTCCCTAGTTCTAGGTGATGGTGTTTGTGATATTTAATAAATAAGAGCTGACTCAAAGCAGTAAAACAGGCACTGCTGATGTTATTTGTGTAGCAAATATACATTTTGTAGGTAGTAGGTTGGTAGACAGCAACCACCCAGGGAGGTACTACCGTCCTGCCAAGTGAGTAAAACGAAAGCCTGTAATTGTTTTACATGATGGTAGGATTGCTGGTGTCTTTTGTCTGTCTCATAAATATGCAAGATTACAGGCATGTCTTGCTACTTCTACTTACACTTAGGTCACACTACACATACATGTACACGTTTATTTATACACACTCATCTGAGTTTTCTTTGATTTTATCTTAATAGTTCTTGGTCTTATTACTTTTCCTTTTATATCCATGGGGAAGTGGAATAAGAATCTTTCCCCCGTAAGCCATGCGTGTTGTAAAAGTCAACTAAAATGCCGGGAACAATGGGATAGTAACCCCTTTTCCTGTAAAGATTACTAAAAAGAATAAGAAGAAGAAAATTGTCAAAGTGGGAAGTCTGAATGTGCGTGGATGTTGTGCAAATGATAAGAAAGAGATGATTGTGGATGTTATGAATGAGAAGAAACTGGATGTCCTGGCTTTAAGTGAAACAAAGCTGAAGGGGGTGGGAGAGTTTCAATGGAGAGGAATAAAGGGGATTAGGTCAGGGGTTTCAAATAGAGTTAGAGCTAAAGAAGGAGTAGCAATAATGTTGAAGGATAAGCTATGGCAGGAAAGGAGGGACTACAAATGTATAAATTCAAGGATTATGTGGAGTAAAATAAAGATCGGATGTGAAAAGTGGGTTATAGTAAGCATGTATGCACCTGGAGAAGAGAGAAGTGTAGAGGAGAGAGAGAGATTCTGGAAATGTTGAGTGAATGCGTGGGGAGTTTTGAATCAAGTGTGAGAGTAATGGTGGTTGGGGATTTCAATGCTAAAGAGGGTAAAAATGTTATGGAGGGAGTAGTAGGTAAATTTGGGGTGCCAGGGGTAAATGTAAATGGGGAGCCTTTAATTGAGCTATGTGTAGAAAGAAATTTGGTAATAAGTAATACAAAATTTTATGAAAAAGAGGATAAATAAATATACAAGGTATGATGTAGCACGTAATGAAAGTAGTTTGTTAGATTATGTATTGGTGGATAAAAGGTTGATGGGTAGGCTCCAGGATGTACAAGTTTATAGAGGGGCAAATGATATATCGGATCATTATTTAGTTGTAACTACAGTTAGAGTAAGAGGTAGATGGGAAAAGAGGAAGGTGGCAACAACAAATAAGAGGGAGGTGAAAGTGTATAAACTAAGGGAGGAGGAAGTTCGGGGCGAGATATAAGCGACTATTGGCAGAAAGGTGGGCTAGTGCAAAGATGAGTAGTGGGGGGGTTGAAGGGGGTTGGATAGTTTTAAAAATGCAGTATTAGAATGTGGGGCAGAAGTTTGTGGTTATAGGAGGGTGGGGGCAGGAGGAAAGAGGAGTGATTGGGGGAATGATGAAGTAAAGGGTGTGATAAAAGAGAAAAAGGTAGCTTATGAGAGGTTTTTACAAGCAGAAGTGTTATAAGAAGAGCAGAGTATATGTAGAGTAAAGAAAGGTGAAGAGAGTGGTGAGAGAGTGCAAAAGGAGAGCAGATGATAGAGTGGGAGAGGCACTGTCAAGAAATTTTTTAAAGAAAATAAGAAAAAACTTTGGAGCGAGTTAAACAAGTTAAGAAAGCCTAGGGAAAGTATGGATTTGTCAGTTAAAAAAAGAGTAGGGGAGTTAGTAGATGGGGAGAGGGAGGTATTAGGTAGATGGCGAGAATATTTTGAGGAACTTTTAAATGTTGAGGAAGAAAGGGAGGCAGTAATTTCATGCACTGGCCAGGGAGGTATACCATCTTTTAGGAGTGAAGAAGAGCAGAATGTAAGTGTGGTAGAGTACGTGAGGCATTACGTAGAATGAAAGGGGGTAAAGCAGCTGGAACTGATGGGATCATGACAGAAATGTTAAAAGCAGGGGGGGATATAGTGTTGGAGTGGTTGGTACTTTTGTTTAATAAATGTATGAAAGAGGGGAAGGTACCTAGGGATTGGCGGAGAGCATGTATAGTCCCTTTATATAAAGGGAAAGGGGACAAAAGAGATTGTAAAAATTATAGAGGAATAAGTTTACTGAGTATACCAGGAAAAGTATACGGTAGGGTTATATTATTATTATTATAATCAAAAAGAAGCGCTAAGCCACAAGGGCTGGTAGGGTTATAATTGAAAGAATTAGAGGTAAGACAGAATGTAGGATTGCGGATCAGCAGGGAGGCTTCAGAGTGGGTAGGGGATGTGTAGATCAAGTGTTTACATTGAAGCATATATGTGAACAGTATTTAGATAAAGGTAGGGAAGTTTTTATTGCATTTATGGATTTAGAAAAGGCATATGATAGAGTGGATAGAGGAGCAATGTGGCAGATGTTGCAAGTATATGGAATAGGTGGTAAGTTACTAAATGCTGTTAAGAGTTTTTATGAGGATAGTGAGGCTCAGGTTAGGGTGTGTAGAAGAGAGGGAGACTACTTCCCGGTAAAAGTAGGTCTTAGACAGGGATGTGTAATGTCACCATGGTTTGTTTAATATATTTATAGGTGGGGTTGTAAAGGAAGTAAATGCTAGGGTGTTCGGGAGAGGGGTGGGATTAAATTTTGGGGAATCAAATTCAAAATGGGAATTGACACAGTTACTTTTTGCTGATGATACTGTGCTTATGGGAGATTCTAAAGAAAAATTGCAAAGGTTAGTGGATGAGTTTGAGAATGTGTGTAAAGGTAGAAAGTTGAAAGTGAACATAGAAAAGAGTAAGGTGATGAGGGTATCAAATGATTTAGATAAAGAAAATTGGATATTAAATTGGGAGGAGGAGTATGGAAGAAGTGAATGTTTTCAGACACTTGGGAGTTGACGTGTCGGGGGATGGATTTATGAAGGATGAGGTTAATCATAGAATTGATGAGGGAAAAAAGGTGAGTGGTGCGTTGAGGTATTGTGGAGTCAAAAACGTTATCTATGGAGGCAAAGAAGGAATGTATGAAAGTATAGTAGTACCAACACTCTTATATGGATGTGAAGCTTGGGTGGTAAATGCAGCAGCGAGGAGATGGTTGGAGGCAGTGGAGATGTCCTGTCTAAGGGCAATGTGTGGTGTAAATATTATGCAGAAAATTCGGAGTGTGGAAATTAGGAGAATGTGTGGAGTTAATAAAAGCATTAGTCAGAGGGCTGAAGAGGGGTTGTTGTGGTTTGGTCATTTAGAGAGAATGGATCAAAGTAGAATGACATGGAAAGCATATAAATCTATAGGGGAAGGAAGGAGGGGTAGGGGTCGTCCTCGAAAGGGTTGGAAAGAGGGGGTAAAGGAGGTTTTGTGGGCGAGGGGCTTGGACTTCCAGCAAGCGTGCATGAGCGTGTTAGATAGGAGTGAATGGAGACGAATGATACTTGGGACCTGACGATCTGTTGGAGTGTGAGCAGGGTAATATTTAGTGAAGGGATTCAGGGAAACCGGTTATTTTCATATAGTCAGACTTGAGCCCTGGAAATGGGAAGTACAATGCCTGCACTTTAAAGGAGGGGTTAGGGATATTGGCAGTTTGGAGGGATAGGTTGTGTATCTTTATACGTATATGCTTCTAAACCGTTGTATTCTGAGCACCTCTGCAAAAACAGTGATAATGTGTGAGTGTGGTGAAAGTGTTGAATGATGATGAAAGTATTTTCTTTTTGGGGATTTTCTTTCATTTTTGGGTCACCCTGCCTCGGTGGGAGACGACCGACTTGTTGAAAAAAAAAAAAAAATATACATGATATAAACAGACATGCTTGCTGCACCAATAACATCAACAACACTTGTTTAATACTACTATGAATCAGCTCTTATTCATTCCATAAACACTATCACCCAGAACACATCGCACTCATGACCTGATATAGCAAGGGTCCCACTTCACGACTCCTCGTCACCTGCTCTCCTGTCTATACAATATATGCATACCTATGCTTACTATTTACTCTATGAGCATGTTAATAATAATAATAATAATAAATTTAGTGCTAAATCCATAAGGGTCATATAGCAGATGGCCTTTTAAAAGTTTGGTTTTCAAGCAAAATGTGTCAATGGTTTCTAGTTTGCCTGAATGTAAAGTTAAAGTCAGGATAACTTAGGCAACATTTGTCATAATAGAGTTCAGGCATTATTCACCAAAAAAAAGTGGTTAGATTCTAAACTATTTCCAGTGTTGGATGACCTCAATTGCATTCACCAAGGAATGCTTGAACTATGTTCATCAGTAATTTTCACTGGTGGACAGTCTTAACCATGTTCACCAACAGAGGTCCAGGCCATGTTCACCGGTATGGAGTGAGCCACAGTCACCAAGGGACGGTTTGAGCCAAGTGCATCTTAACTGGCAGACGGTAAGGATCATCCTCATAAATGCAATGTAAGGACATGCTTGTTGGAAAATTAACGTTGTATATTTTTGAATTCTTGAGGGAAGATACAGCTACTATACTTATGTTGAGGCTACATGAATTGTGAGCTGCCCTGGGCTTATACACTGGGATCCACATGAGCAGCTGTTTCTCATTCAGATCACACTTCCGGATATAAATCTAAATGTTCCAATCTGCATACCTATCAAACTTATCTATCCAATCAGTGGCCCAACATATCATTATGAGCTGTGAAGCTCCTACAATTGTTATTACCGCTGAATATATGGAATATTCACTTGCAATCATCTACAGTAATTTAAGATTATGCTATTTTGCTCCCAAATGAAAGAATAGTGTTATATTACAATGAAAAATTGAGGTGTAATAAGAAAATAATTCCCTGGGATGGCCAAGCTTCTGCCTAATCTTTAAATAAAAATTCTGTCAAACTGTCCAAATTTTCAATCTTATTTAAATACATGAACTTTTTTTTTTTTTCAAATTTGTTTTCTGAATAAATACAACCCTCTACACACAATTCCATAACATTATCTTAAATACTATATGGGTGCTAACAAATTCATATCCTATAAGCATGATTTAAGAATCATTTCAATAAAGTAATTACAATCAGGGGGTCAGGTGAAATTGTGTGCAACCAATTCTCAAATATCTCGGCTTTTTTGTCTGCAAGGCCTACCAAAAGTATTTCCAATTAGCATGGTCCCTTACTATCCATTAATTATATGTCATGGATAAAAAATAAGTATAAAATTAATGCCATATATAAACTAAAAATCATCAAATATGGCAAATTGTAGTATTCTAGAATGAGAAAAAATTTCTCTGAGGTTTCCAAAACTTATGCTACTCATATCATGACTTCATCTCAGTTTAGTTAAGAGATAAAATACCTTTTCAGCAATGCTCTTCATCACCTGACTGATATGTTGCCATAGATTAGCTTACCTATGCTTTCCTTTTCTTCCCATATAACATTCTCAGTTTGCTAGGTCTATAAGTTTACAAAGAATATTGGAAATTGATTTACTGCTGCAATAAAAATGCTACACTGTGAGGAGACTAGAGAGTGCTCCTTAACACTTCAAGAGTTACAGTGAAAAAATGACTTCTTTTCCCTACCATAAATTTTGTCCTTAAATAAGTACATAAGCAATATATATCTTGGCAGCTGATGCTTAGCTTTCAAAGAATCTTAACCCTTTAAGTATTAAATATTTCTATTACTTGATGCCAGTAGTGAGAGTCCATGGCAACCCTTTTTTTGAGAGAACTAGTGAATTAATTCTTGACTATTTTTTGTCAAACAGGATTCAAACTCTTGCTGAATGGAATTAATATTACTAGAGCACAGCTGAACCCCCAAAAAACATTAAACTGAGCTCATGTAAGTACTCCATAGTTCAGCAAAAGTTTATAATTAGCTATTATTGAAGCAGACTAGCAACAGTACTGTACATTGCTATACTTAGCTGAGATGGGGAACTCTTAATATTAGTACATGAAAATTTTGAAATATCTCTGAGCACTCTCCTGCCTTCAACCAGTCTATACTTATAGTTGCACAGACATGTGAGCATCATAAGATTATCATGACTTGTTTGTACATTTCAAGTGCTTGCATTATATGCTTATCAGACACTTTACACCTGAAAATAAAATATAATTATAAAAGTAATATTACAGGACTTGGAAGCATAGGTGATTTTTACTGCAGTCTTGAACATGAAGTATTGCTCAATGGATTCTACTAATGGTAGTATTACACGAAAAGTATACATACTCTGGGTAAAAATTATTGTGAATGTTCATATCCACTCATCACCTATGGCTTACCTTGTCCACATTTCACTCTGGCTAAAATACAATGACATACACGGAAAGACCTTTTTGCCTTAATTTTAAAATACACAGCATGTAAGCTATTTAAACAGGTCATATTATCTGTTGCATATTACTATATATAATTTATGCAGTTTCAGCCTGGTTTTTATAAAAGAGGTGCTGGAGATCTGGAAGCCTTTCTTCGCTAGAATGTTACAAATGCTTTCACTATAAATGGTTTCTTCATTTCCACATTTTTCTTTTTAATTTGAAATTTTATGAGATGTTCACCAGCTTTTAATTTAAAAGTTGGATGAATGAATCAATGTGTTCCTACCACTTTGTTTTATATCACAGCAGAGTTCACACTTAAATCAATTACCATTTCAACAACTTTTCAACTTACTGCAAATCACATTCAACAATGGGGCAGTGATATACAGATCCTTGGGAATTGGGGGAGACAGTTCAAGCCAGTTCATTATTTCTTTTCATTCAGTTTACTATAAAAGACAAGGAAATATCTGATAGTAACCAACCAACTGTATTGAGCTATTGGTGTACCTATGCTATGTAATATTAAGCAAGGTGTAACCTTTAAAGAATCATCACCCTTAACACTTATATTACATGCTGCAGTGCACACTTGAGAGAAACAGTTATGGCAACACTTACTGATAGTGATGATCAATATTTATTATCACTTCACACTCTCACAGTGTTCTGAGGATTCGTATGTTTTTTGCCCCCCAAATCTTGTGATCTCTTTTTCAGGATTGTATAAGCACTGATTGTACCTATGTAATTTTTTTTTTAAATTGCAGTCCAGCACACCTGTCATGTGGAGGACTGTGAGGTCCTTCACTCCCCAAAGCGACTGCAGGCCTTTTTCCATTTGCACTGTGTGCACCAGAGGTCACGCTGCTCCATGCCATACACTTTGCGGCACTTGCGACTTTCCCCATTTCTTTTCCCTCTGCCAGGTGATGCTTTTGGAGAAGAACTCACTCGTATTTTGCCACGTCCAGATCCCTGCAAAATAAGTATGGTATACTGTAAAGTACTAACATGGTAACTTTCATGAAATATAAATTTGAGATTCTCAGCACATTGGCCCTGAAAACATGTAATTCCTTACTTCAATTTATTTCTCTTTGCTACTTAACAAGATTATTAATCAACAACTATTAAAATGTTTTTAACCCTTTCATTATCTCGTCCATAGATCTACGTTACTGATATCAGCTTTGCTTATGTAGAGCTATGCATAAATTCTAGCTGCCTAAAATTCGATGTTAAAGGCCTGGTAGGCCTAGCGATGATAGAACAGGTCTGCATAGTCAGTGTGCATAATAAAAAAATTGGGGCCACCACAGCACATTGTGGAAATGCCAGCTTAGTATGTCATTGTTCACTATGTCAAATGGACACAAAGGCCTTACTCCCAGGTGAATTCATTATGTATTATTTCCCAGAGACAGCTGCAACAATGAGGATTATGGAACCAAGGATGAGTTCTTTAGTTTGGACCATTTAGTGACCAAAAGTGACACTCAAGATACCAAATATACCACTGAAAACCTTGATGACTGACAGCCATCCACCTCTGGAGTTAGTTCATCTGGAATACATTTACCACACAATAAGTGAATGCTCATATTCTCCCATGGCTTGGGACAGATGCAAGTAGTAATGACAGTGATGTGGACTCTGATTTCCCATCAACTGATGACCAATCTAGTGATAGTAATGAAAATTATTAACCTGTGAAGCATCATTATATATGGTGCTGCACACAGTCTGGTAGTGGACCCATTGCTATCTCAAAGGGACATTGTATGTCATGGAACGTCAGTGTCACATGTGGTAGTGGCTGGTGGGGAAGGGAAGAGGACAGCACCAGTCCCAGCCCTGGCTAAGAGCCATGCTTTACACACTGCACCCCAAGGAACCCCAGGCCATATCCATCACTCTCACACAATCACCACTATTACAACCAGCTGCAAATATCCAGCAACCACCAATCACCAATCAACCACCCATCTGGGATTGGGAAGTTGATGCACATTTTGTGCCCAATCCCCATCAATGTGATGACACACAGTGGAATCCAACTCAACTGTACCCTGTAGAACAATGTCACTGAACTTTAAATGCCAGTCCACAACACATGAGCCACTGTCCCAATCACCAAATACCCTCCAGTTTGAAGTCTGGTGATTGCTTCCTAATGACACATCCTGCTCAAAGCTCAAGGACATGCATTCTGTGTGTCAAGAAAGTAAAACACTGCTGTGTATGGAGGTGTGTCTCAGGGACTTTCACACACTGCAACAGTTCTAAGAACATGTACTTATGATAGAACAGTAGTATGTAGCATCTGGATATATGTCTGTTTACAGTGTTGTGTATAAATGTTTCGTAACAATTTACTGTTAGATGACAATCTTAATGCAGGTATTATGTTGCATACAATGGGTTGCCATATGTACACTATACATAATCTGGGTTTCATAAGCCACAACAGTTACTGGAAAAGATAAAAAAAAAATAAGAACCCCAGAATAAAGTGTAAAAGATAATAAAATACAGTGGAACCTCGGTCTTTGTGATTAACCTGTTCGAAAAAGTCTGATGAAAACCGAATCCTACGAAAACTGAAGTAACACTTCCCAAAAGAAATAACGTAAATCCAATTAATTCGTCTTAATGTTGGACGAGAGGAGAGTAGTATCTGTGTGTAGGAAGTCAGTGTAGGTAGGTGTAGCCCATCTGCAACCCTGAGCCATATCATCTTCCTGTTGGGTTTCAGGGCCACTGACAGCATACGCCATATCGAGCCCGGCCGTCCAGTGCTAGGAGAGGGGGATATCGACCAAAGTGGAAGAATGTCTTGACTAATAACTATGTATCATATGTCTCTGATACGCCCTGAAGTCAGCAGGAAGGAGCAGGTACAGGCCAATATCTCCTGACGGTGTCCAGAGGGCGAAACCCCTCCCCGTTGAGGACTGGTAGAGTGAAAGTGTGCACCCCAAGCGTGCGCAAGGCCACATGGAGAGGAGTCCGTGCAGAGTGATAATGTGGGCACCACAGCAGGAAGTGTTCCCCGTCTCAGGCTGTGAGGGACACCACAGGCAGTACAGATGAGCCGCCAGTCGCGAGTGCCCGACTCGAAGGCGAGTCAGTGCAACGTCCACCGAGCGGTTGGGACGGCGAGCCCAAGGGCAGGGGCCATTAAAAGTTCAGACAGAGCCCAACGCTGAGCCATATTACCATCGACATACCTTGTTCACTGAATTTAATCAGTTTCAAACAACTACCTTTAGATGCCATCATAAACGAAGGGAGAAGTAATGAATAATTCATGCCGAGAATTGTAAACAAAAGCAGGAGTGACTAGGCCAAACACAGATTCATACACGTTTTCTCTGGTGCTGGACCAGAGAAAATGTAATGTTTTCCCTCTGCCCGGCATATAAACATGCTATGTTTATATGCTATGGAGGTGTGGTTGCCAGGCGGAGGGAAAACATTACGTAATACTAAAAATAATCATTCTTGGGGACATTAAATGTCTTATTTTATGTTAATATAGATACAGTGGACCCCAAGTTAACGATATTTTTTCATTCCAGAAGTATGTTCAGGTGCCAGTACTGACCGAATTTGTTCCCATAAGAAATATTGTGAAGTAGATTAGTCCATTTCAGACCCCCAAACATACACGTACAAACGCACATACATAATTGGTCGCATTGGGAGGCGATTGTTAAGCGGGGGTCCACTGTATTTTCATTAATCCATCTATGATATTTTCCTCAAAATTATATAAGAAACACGTTACATAGCATACAAACACGCATATGCCACATTCGTACTTTGCTACGAGTTCTTTCTTGAATTCTATCGTTTCTCACCTTTATCAAAGGGCTGGCACTCTGAACTTTCTTTGGCCCCATGGTGGTTTATTTAGCAGTGGCACTCAATAAACAAGCACAAAAAACAATGGATTATTGGCTAAGTCATGCAGATGCGTTTGGTATAGACCATTTTCAACTATGAAAACCAAGCGGATGTATGAAAACTGACAAATTTTGACAAAAAAAGTTGTTGAACACCGAATTCTACGAAAACTAGGGCATATGAAAACCGAAGTTCCACTGTATAAGGAACAAGCAGCAACCACTGATGTTGCTGTCAGCAGGTCAATGACCTTAAACTTCACACCTTGGTAAGTACTGATGGAAACATTGTTTTTTATCTTTATTACAACCACAATTTTTTTTTTTTTTTTTTTTTTTTTTTGTCTGAAGAAAAATCTTGCTTAAAAAGCAAGATACTGTCAACACTTTTAATTTTGGGGTTTGTGACAGTGGAAAGGTTCAATAATTCACCTCACAATGGAGGTGTATTGATGTTGGCAAAATGGTCTTGACCCAAGGAGCTGGACTTCTTAAAATTTGAATGCTCCCCATTCCCCAGGCACTATGTAACCCATACAGATTTAGTACTTTCCCCTACTGAAGAATTATTACAGTACACCAGTCTACAGTATTTTTTTTTTTTTTCATAAAAGGAATTTTCAAAAGCTATTCTTTGTACAAAACTTTAATTATTTGTTTTTTACTCACCAGATAAGTAGAGCTGCGAGGCCAAGAGCTGGAGAGGTTTGCAGATTGCCCTCCCAAATGCTGTTTGTATCTTGGATCTGTAAGAATATTTTGTTAGTCAAACTAGTTAGATTTATAGGTGGCATAAGAGTCAATGAGACATACAAGAATAATACATTTCTTTTCCTAGAAAGAAAAAGATTTAATATAGGAAAGTCTATCCACTGAAGCACTTGAAACGGGAGAAGCACGAGATTCCCATCCCCAACATGGTTACTAAAAGTGGTTGCTGTCAGTAAATACTGTAAAGTACTGTAATTCCAATGCAACACTGTACTTAAACAGTTAATATGACAATGCTTTACAAATATGACAACTTAACATATTGATTAATGGCTCCCCATTACATGACACACTGAGGGTAAATTTTTAGGTATTCATCTTGACTGCAACCTCACATTTCAGACCCACATCCAACATATATCGAAGAAAATATGTATCCAAAACAGTAGGCATCCTTTCCAAGATATGGTACTAAGCACCCCAAATGGCACTACTTTACACTATACTACTTTCTAATTTACCCTTACCTCATCTATGGTATTTGTGCTTGGGGATCAACCACAACCAATCACCTTAAACCATTAATAACCCAACAAAAAGCTGCTATGCAAATGATCAACTCCTGCGCCAGACAACACACCATACCACTCTTCAAGAGATTGAACTTACTTACTTATACAAAATATACACTGATATTATTGTGCCTACTATATATATTATACAGGACATTAAACTTTAGTATAAACCCTCCTCTCAAACGTCTCTCTGATAGCTACAACAGAACACACAGGCACAACACAAGGCACAAAACATTTCAACATTCCTTTTGTCTGTCTCACCCTATGTAAAAATGCAATGCACAGAAAGGGCCCTAAGATCTGGAATTCACTGCCTAACCAGCAAAAGATCCCATGCCTGCAAATCAATTTAGGGCTGTACTTAAAAATGATCTCATCTCCCCAAATTAACCTTACTAACACTATACTAAATCATTCAACCAGACTGAAATGACAAAAAAAATCCACAAAAATTTACAACTGCTTTATCAGTTTAAAACATTAATGCACACTTAAAACTGTACTGTTGTAACATTGTAAGTTGTACTAATTGTAATACAGTGGAACCTCCGTTTTCGTATGCCTTGGTTTTCATAGGATTCAGTTTTTGACGACTTTTTTTTCATTGAAATCTTGTCCCAGTTTACGTACATCCACTCAGTTTTTGTAGAGCTAACAATGGTCTGCCATTACCAAACGCATCCGCCTGCCCATGCCCACACAAAGCATCCCGTGTGTTCTGATTCAGTCTGGCTTTGTTTCTCATTGAGTGAGCATTACCCCGCATATTCATCCAAAACATTTCGTAATAATCCATTGTTTTTTGTGCTCGTTTATTGAATGCAACTGCTAAATACGCCACCTTGAGGCCAAAGAAAGTTCTGAGTGCCAGCCCTTTGATAAAGAAGGCAGGAAATATGACAAAATTCAAGAAGAACTCATAGCAAAGTAAGAAAGTGGTGTACGCGTGGTCAATCTTGCCAGGATGTATGGGAAGTCCGCATCAACAATCAGTACCATCCTGGCAAAGAAAAAAGAAATCAAGAGAGCTGATGTTGCAAAAGGGGTAATGTGCTAACAAAACAGATTGCAAGCAATCGAAGACGTTGAGTAGTAGTAGTTCGTGTGGATCAACAAAAAACAGCGGGAGATAGTGTTGCGAGGCAATAATTTGTGAAAAGACAAGGCAGTTGCATGCGGATCTCGCAAAGGACGTGTACAAAGTGGAATGAGCTGCAAAGTTTTGTGGAGAAATATCACCCTAACAAAGCTGTTGCAAGCCGTGTCTGCAACATGTTCAATGACAATACCTTGTCCCATTTTAGGCAAATCTTAGAGAGACGCCAGAAACATACCTCTCTGGACAGATTTTTTTTGTGCGACGGGTCCAGTGACTCAAGCTGGTCCTAGTGCCAGTAAGACAAAGAAGGTGAGTAAACCCGGAGAGGGCCTTGATACCCAGAGTCCTTATGGAGGGGGGATTCCCCCTCCATACAATAATCTCTCCTCCTCCCTTTCCCCTCCATCTTCCATATGCCAACAAGAGTCTTCAATAAAGGCAAAGGTGATGTTAAATGTTCATTTATCCATTTCATTAGTCATTTATATTTATTTCTCATTGTTTTCTGTATGTAAAACTATAGTTATTCTCTATTAAATGTATTTTTTGTTAATATTTTTGGGTGTCTGGAATGGATTAATTAGATTTACATAATTTCTTATGGCAAATATTGCTTCAGTTTTCGTTGGATTTGGCTTTCGTTAGACTTTCTGGAACAAATTAGTCACAAAAACCGAGGTTCCACTGTACCGTTATTTGTTTTGTGTTACCTCACTACTATAAATCTTCTCTTTCTTTCAACACACTGGCTGTATCCCACCGAGGCGGGGTGGCCCAAAAGGAAAAACGAAAGTTTCTCCTTTTACATTTAGTAATATATACAGGAGAAGAGGTTACTATCCCCTTGCTCCCGGCATTTTAGTCGCCTCTTACAACACGCATGGCTTATGGAGGAAGAATTCTGTTCCACTTCCCCATGAAGGTAAGAGGAAATAAACAAGAACAAGAACTAAAAAGAAAATAGAAGAAAACCCAGAGGGGTGTGTATATATATGTTTGTACATGTATGTGTAGTGTGACCTAAGTGTAGCAGAAGTAGCAAGACGTACCTGAAATCTTGCATGTGTATGAGACAGAATAAAAAGACACCCGCAATCCTACCATCATGTAAAACAATTACAGGCTTCTGTTTTACACTCGCTGGCAGGACGGCAGTACCTCCCTGGGCGGTTGCCGTCTACCAACCTACTACCTAGAACTATAAATCTTATTAATTATAAATTTTTTGGGCTATCTCACTTTAGTAATAAAGAAAAATGATGAATAATTAAAATTTACCACTATAACCTATGTCTAGTTTAAGTAGTCTGTAAGTACAGTATTAGGATTAGTCTGCCCAAAATGCCCCAGCATGTTAGTGGCTTTCTTTGTATTTAACAACACTTTATAAAATGTAAATCACACACTTGCAAAGAAATAAAATTTGTATTTGTAAGGTTTATTTCATTACCTGCAGTCTACAGCATATGCAATGTGTTTATTACATTAGTGCTGTAGCACAGTATTAGGGTTCAAAATTCAAATTTATATCACTTGAATACTCTTCATTTGCTAACTTCCAAAAACTCAGATTTCAAAGTTATTAAGTCATGCATTAAAAATTTAAATATAAAACAACTGCACAATCAGCAGGATAACTGTACTTCACACTCCACTGCAGCTCTTAAAAGGTGATTTTTGAGTAATTAATATTGCAAAGACAGTTTTGTGAAAAGGACAGATTAAAAACAAGTCCTTCACTGGGTTTTCTGAGGTGGTTCTTCTTAGCTAATTGTAAGGCTAAAGTGTATCCACATGGCTGCTCATCCACTTCCTAACCAGATAATAATGCTAAAATCTAACTGACCAATAGATACACACATTATCCATGGTGCTATGCCAATAGTTGCATTAACATTTTAAAATACTACAGTAAATCATGTGTAATATTTCATAGTGAGTTACATTCACTCAACTTTGTCTGCCCTCCTCTCTGATGTCCCATCTTTAAATACACTCGCTATACTAATTTCTTAACAGACACCACTGATCTGTTACAGCAACTGAGCTCCCCTCTCCCCAAAATCCTTACTGCAGTATTCTTCAACACCTCTCCTCCAACATCTCTTCCCTTTTCTCTCAGTGCTGAATAACTCTTACAGGTTCAGTGCTGGGTTTCCATAAATACAACAATAATAATAATAATCCAGTATAATTATAAAAAATAATACTGTCATCACAAAGTTAAAAGTGCAAAACTGGAACAATAAAGTGCTTCATAAGACATACACTATAGTGTGTTATTCTAGCATACAAATCCTAGCATTTGTGAGTGAAATAATGCTATCAATTTAGTTAGTCACCTGAAATGCAGTCCAGTTCATTATCTACAGATTTTTTTTTTTTTTTTAACACATAGGCCGCTTCCCACCAAGGCAGGGTGGCCTGAAAAAGAAAAACTTTCATCATCATTCACTACATCACTGTCCTACCAGAGGCATGTTTACACTACAGTTATAAAACTGCAACATTAACACCCCTCCTTCAGAGTGCCAGCACTGTACTTCCCATCTCCAGAACTCAAGTCCGGCCTGCCGGTTTCCCTGAATCCCTTCAGAAATGTTACCTTGCTCACACTTCAACAGCATGTCCTAAAAACCATCTGTCTCCATTTGCTCTTACCTAACGTACTCATGCATGCTTGCTGGAAGTCCAAGCCCCCTTGCACACAAAACCTTTACCCCCCTTCCTCCAACCTTTCCTAGGCCAACCCCTACCACACCTTCCCTCCACTACATATTTGTACACTAAATTATTCTATTTTGTTCCATCCTTTCTACATGTCCAAACCACCTCAACAACCCCTCCTCAGCCCTCTGGATAAAGTTTTGGTAATCCTACACCTCCTCCTAATCTCCAAACTACGGATTCTCTGCATTATATTCACACCACACATTGCCCTCAGACATGATATCTCCCCTGCCTCCAGCCTTCTCTTTATTGCAACATTAACCACTCATGCTTCATACCAATATAAGAGTGTTGATATAACTATATTCTCATACATTTCCCTCTTTGCTCTCATAGATAAAGTTCTTTGTCTCCACAGACTCCTCAGTGTACCACTCGCCTTTTTTCCCTCATCAATTCTATGATTCACCCCATCTTTCATTGACCCATCTGTCCACTCCCAAATATCTGAATACACTCGCCTAATCCATACTCTCTCCCTCCAATCTGATAACCAATCTTTTGTTTCCTAATTTTTTTAGCCTTAATTCTTTGGTATACATGTACGTATTCACTTTTAATTTCCTCCTTTACAAACCCTACTAAACTCATCCACTAACCTCTGCAGCTTCTCTTCAGAATCTCCCAAAAGCACAGTGTCATCAGCAAAGAGCAACTGTGACAACTCCCACTTGCCAGCACCCAAACACTCACTTCTCTTACAACTCCATCTATAAATATATTGAACAACCATGGTGACATCACACAACCCCATCAGAGGCCTACTTTTACCAGGAAATAATCTCCCTCTCTCTCCTATATATTATAACCTGAGCCTCACTATCCTCGTAAAAACTCTTCACTGCTTTCAATAACCTACCTCCTATTCCATACATTTGCAACATCTGCCACACTGTCCCCCTATCTACCCTATCAGATGTTGCAAGTTATGGTGCGAGTTACATGAATTTTGTACCTATGTAAACACAAGACCAAATAGGAAATCTACCTTCATGTGGTGGTCGTGCCATGTCCATATGGCTGAGCGTAGGTGGCGAAGAGACATGGATATACTGAGGTTGGGACTGCTGCACTGGCACTGTTGGGAATGTAATTCCAACAGCATGGGGTGAATTGGATGTGGGTGTAGGTGGCGAGGTAATTAGCTTAAGAGTAGTGAGAGGAGCAGGTGTGACAGCTGGAGTAATGGAGGCAACCAGAGGCTCACAAGGATCAACCCATGTAGCTACATTAACTTCAACTTCTGTCCAGTAAAATTCTTCCTCGTGATCATCATCATCACTGTCGCTGTCACTGTGATCACTGTTAATTTCTTCACGCCTAAGGAAAATAAGAGAAGAAAATTATTTACAAGAGAATATCTCCCAAAAAGCTATATAATTATAGTACATTGCTATATGACCCTTGTGGGTTTAACATTTAGTTAATATTATAATAAGAACATAAGAAAGAAGAAACACTGCAGCAGGCCTACTGGCCCATGTGGGGCAGGTGCCTGTCAACCCTCAGCTTAGACCAATGGCCCACCCACTTAAGGAAGGAGCACAGCATCTGACCCAGTAGCACCAGCTAGTCAAGTCCAACTCACACCCACTCATGTATTTATCTAACCTATTTTTAAAACTACACAACATCTTAGCTTCTATAACGGAACTCGGGAGTTTGTTCCAATCATCCACAACTCTTACCAAACCAGTGCTTTTCTATATCCTTCCTGAATCTGAATTTTTCCAGCTTAAAACCATTGTTGCAAGTCCTGTCTAGGCTAGATATTTTTAGCATGCTATTTACATTCCCTTTATTCATTCCCGTTTTCCATTTATACACCTCAATCACATTCCCCCTAATTCTACGCCTTTCTAGAGTGCAGATTCAGGGCCCTCAGCCTATCCTCATAGGGAAGATTTCTGATACATGGGATCAACTTTGTCATCCTCCTCTGTACATTTTCCAGTGCATTTATATCCATTCTGTAATATGGTGACCAGAACTGTGCAGCATAATCTAACTGAGGCCTAACCAAAGATATATAGAGTTGAAGAACAACTTGAGGATTTCTATTATTTATGCTTCTTGATATGAAGCCAAGGATTCTGTTAGCTTTATTGCAAACTCTTATGCACTGTTGTCTTGGTTTCAGGTTATGTCTAACCAGAACTCTAAATCCTTTTTGCAATCAGTAATACTAAGATCTACATTTAGTTTATATGTGGCATGGTTATTATTCTTTCCAACATTTAGAACTTTGCATTTGTCTATATTAAACTGCATCTGCCACTTCTCCGAGCATTACATCAGTCTATTCAAATCATCCTGGAGTGCTCTAATGTCCTCATTTGAATGAATTGGACGGCCTATTTTGGCGTCATCAGCAAATTTGCTTTTGTCGCTACTTATTCTCTCATCTATGTCGTTTATATAAACTGAGCAACAAGGGGCCTAACAATGACCACTGTGGAACACTGCTTGTAACGTGCCCCCATTCTGATTTCTCCCCATTTATGCAAACTCTCTGCTGCCTATTTGTCAACCATGCCTCTACCCAGGAAACAATTTCTCCTCATATTCTGTGTGCCTTAAGTTTCCTCAATAGCCTCTGATGTGGAACTATCGAAAGCCTTACTGAAGTCCATCTACACAGTATCATATTGAATACCATGATCTACCTCCTCAGATACCTTAGTGAAAAAAGTTAGTAAATTTGTAAGACAGGAACGCCCCTTTGTAAAAGCGTGTTGAGATTCATTAATCAATTTATGCCTTTCAAGATGGCTACAAATTGCCTCGGCAATTATCGATTCTATAAATTTTCCCACTAAGGAGGTAAGGCTTATTGGTCTAAAGTTCAAAGCTAAGGACCTGTCACCTGCCTTGTAAATAGGCATTACATTTGCCATTTTACACTTATCTGGCACTATGCCAGTTTGTAGTGATATGCTGAAAAGATTAGCCACAGGTTTGTTAAGTTCCTCTTTACATTCCTTTAAAACCCTTGCAAACAATTCATCAGGGCCTGGGGATTTGTTAGGTTTTAATTTCTCTATTTGTCCGAGGACCACGTCACTAGTTACCCCAATCATGCATAGTTTATCATCATCCTGTTCTACATAATTTATTATTTCTGGAATTTCGCTAGTATCTTCTTTAGTAAAAACTGAGAGGAAGTATTGAAAACTTCACACATTTCCTTATCACTGTCAGTGATCTGCCTGAGTTACTCTTAAGTGGGCCTATCTTGTCCCTAATCTTACTTCTGTATACCTTGCGACCTTAGCCTCATAATCCCTTTCTGCTTTTCTTATTCCTTTTTTTATTTCTAATTGAACATATTGATTTCTTTTGATATGCCTATATATGCGCCTCTCTTTTGACCAATGAGATGTTTTAATCTATTGTTCATCCATTTGGGATCATTTTTGTTAGATCTAATTTCCCTACTCGGAATAAAAGTTGTCTGGGCAGCTAGGACTATGCTCTGAAAAACGTCATATTGGCAACCAACACCACCAACTTGACCCACAGTCAAGTCATCCCAATTTAGCCCACCCAGGTAATTTCTCAGTGTCATGAAATTGGCCAGGCGGAAGTCTGGGACAGACTTAATTGCAGTTATCTGGGTAATTCCATGATATATTGAAACTAAGTGATTTGTGATTGCTTTCCCCAAGCTCATCAGTAACCTCAAGACTATTAATTAGTGATTCTTTGTTGGCAAGAACCAAGTCAAGCAGGTTGTTTCCTCTAGTTGTTTCTGTCACAAACTGTTTTAAAAAGCAATCCTGAACCGTATCAAGAAAAAGTCACTAGACTCAAGATTTCCTGTCACATTGTTCCAATCAGTTTATCTCAAGTTAAAATCTCCCATTAACACAACATTTTTATATTTGGATGCTTTATGAATTTCATCCCATAGCAGCTTACTGCACTCTCTATCAAGGTTTGGGGGCCTATAAATCACACCCAAAATTAACCTTTCACGACCCTCGAGAAGCTGTAGCCAAACAGATTCTGTGTCCGATGTTTCTAATCTTATATCTTGTCTAACACAACAATTTAAATTATCTCTGACATACATCGCCCCTCCACCATCCTTCCTGTTGACTATCAGTGTGGAATAGTTTATAACCCTTTATGTTGCATTCAGAAGGCATATCTCTATCTTTCAAATTGAACCAGGTCTTTGTTATAGCAATAATATCTATATTACCTGCACTTGCAAGTAATCTTAGCTCATCCATCTTATTTCTTAGACTCCTACTATTTGGTAGCTAGTCACTCGTTGCCCTCTACTATCTCTGTTAGTAAAGGCAATGCAACTGATCAACAAACAGCTTTATTTTGAATATTGTCTTTTAAACATATCCCTGAGGTATCCTGGTTATGTCTGTTGTTTTCAACCCTAGTACTGCAGCCTGATTGTTTCCCACAGACACCCATACCTCTACAATCTATCAGTTTAAAGTCCTAGACATGTCACCAATAACCCCCTCAATCGAACTGGCTAATGTAACCACTCCAGCCCCAGAGAGATGAACCCCATTCCTTGGATACATAATCATGTTTGCTATAAAATATGTCCCAGTTATCAGTGAAGGGGATTGCAAGTTCCTTGCAGTACCTGTCTATACAGCAATTCATACAAATTGCCCTAGACATCCATTCATTGCCCACTCTCCTTCTAGGCAAGATGCTACTTGTGATTGGGATACCTCCCTTAGACCTGGCTACATCTATGGCTGACCTGTACTTATCCAGCAACTCCTGTCTCCTGCCCTTCCCGATGTCATTTCGACCAGCACTAAGACAGATAATGGGCTTGTTCCCATTGACTGACATAATATTATCCAACCTGCTGACTATGTCACCAACGCCAGCTCCTGGGAGGCACACCCTGTCTGACCTTTCTATCTCTGTTACAAAAAGCACAGTCCATATATCTTACCTGAGAATCTCCCACAATTAGAATATTCTTATCTTGATAAGTAGGAGTGTCAGTGGTACCTTTAACCTCACTAACCACTGAAGTACACTCGTCCTGGAGAGCAGAGAATCGATTTCCTACCTTCACATCTTTTCTATTAACCTTATCATCTTTTTTCCTGAATTGTGAACCACTTGCCACTTAAAGCGGCTGTCACTCTCCAAATCACTGCTGGGAACTTTTTCCTCCTTACGCAATAATACATAATTATATGCATTACAGTACACAGAATAACTGATTATGGCTTATCTAACAAATTTGACCAAAGTTGGTCATGTGACCTTGGTCATTCAATGATGCATATTCAGATGCTGGTAGCAGTCCCCTGAAAGCTTTTAAGAAAAGCAAAGAGCACACATTATCATCACTATTGATTAGTGGGGAGATTAAACAAGTACTATACCGTATTTACATTACTTATTGAAGTTAGAAAAAATGTACTTGCCTTAAACTCTCCCTATACTCGAATTATGGTCAAGATGAAACGTAACAGTAACTAGGATGTTATTAACCAGGTTTGTAAGCACTGACCCAAGGTGTGTGGAACGTATGTGTCTCTCAATGGCATCACAAGCAGCAGTCATCTCTTGGCACCCAATCCAGGTGCACTTGAACATGGTGCGAGTAGAACTCTGAGACAGAGAGAAACTAATTAATAAATGTCCAAAGAATGAACAATAATAACAAAGCAAAATCAATGTACTTTAACTGAACTCCTTACAAGGTTAATTTTTATAGAATAATTTATAAGAAACACATTATAGTGGGTTCATTCATAAAACAGGGGGTGTTATGTTTGTAAAAATTTGATAAACCTGCAGCTACAATATTAGAACACTAGTGTTATTCACACACGGGTTTTGCTGCATCAGCTACGAGTAGGACTCAGGCACAGATGGACAATTGCTGAATACGTACTTATTTCAGAATATAGATAAATGTTATTTAATTGGACATAAACAATGCTTATGCAATGATGCACACAATATACACACGTCTAACACACGTCTAACAAGCTTGTGTGAACGTGGTAGATCGGAGTGGAGGCAAATGGTTTTTGTGACATGATGTACAGTTGGAGTGTGAGCAAGGTAACATTTGTGAAAGGATTCAGGTAAACCAGTTAGACAGACTGGAGTCCTAGAGGTGGGAAGTATAGTGCCTGCACTATACTTCCCACCTCTAGGACTCCAGGGAGTGAAGAGGAAGAGGAAGTTGTAGTTCATAGGGTCAACTGAACTATGATGCCAACACTCTTCTAGCAAGACTGACAATGAATGGCTCCTCTTAAAAAATAAAACTGCAGAAAAATCTGGCTAAAATTCGGTACTTTTATTTGTATTAATTTTTTAACTCATTTTATTGGAAAATTAGTTTTATAAACCATGATAATGCTTCCATAAATCATTCTACACTTCTGGTGGCCACTACTAGGCAGTCAGGACCGTCCAAACTTGAGTTTGTAATTTTCATTTTTTCTCAGAAAATTATTTTTCTTTATGCCATAAAAACTACACTATTTCTATATAAATCCTAATGATTTTTTTACAATATTCTGTGATCATTGTCTTATATTACAATACTAAAAAAAATATTTCACATTTTTCTCCGAGATCTTTTCAGATTTGGCACTTAATTTATTAATTATAATTTTGTTTCTCAGTTAAAAAAAAAAAAACGGGGGCTAAAATGCTACAGTTTTCCAAACGTTTTGATATGACAAATTAAATTAGGCTTCCTACTGTCATGCACACAATTTTGCAATAGATCATTTTCTATTTCTACAAAAGTGCTGCTATATAGAAAAAATAAATTTATACACATTTCTTAGCCGATCTTCATGGAACCTACCGAGCAGCAGACAGGATTCGTACCTAATTTTCAATAAAAATGTCAATGAATTTGGTGTATTATTTCCTGATCTCACACTGAAAATTGCCACTCCCCCATATCTCTGCCCAAAATGCTATGCATAGCTCGAGTCTTTTCCTTTGTAAAAAGATATGTCAACATACTATTACTACTTTAAATGTATATTCTTGGAATAAAGCAATCGTTATAAATGCAATCACGTCTTTGTGAACACAGATACTCCCATACTATGATAGACGGGATAGGCTATTTGAGAGGCGGAACTCGTATTCGGTGGGGGAGAGGTGAGGGACTGGAAGTTAAAGATACAGTCTTGGTCATATAAGCAGAATGAAAGTGAAGTAGTAGAGGTAGGCTTCATAAGTTCATACACTGTTGTATGATTAGGTACGATAGGGCCCACGAGGCTAGGAGAGAGAATCTGGCAGGAAACAAGTTGAGAGGCATGACCACAAGGCACTGAGACTTGACCCTGCAACCACAAATAGGCGAGTACACGTCCTTGATCACTCAGGTCATAACATATACACGTCCGTGATCACTCAGCACATACCATGCACGTCCTTATGTCCTCGAGATACATGTATTCCCGTACCTTGTAACGTCCTACTAATAATGCTACAGAAAATTATTTCATGCTCAAGCTACAAATTGATAAGCTATGTGTAGTCTTAATTCAATCTTTAAAACTGCCAGAACAAGTATGTAGTGTTAATTCAACCACAGTGACTGAGTGAAGATGACTACCCAGGTGAGACTATTTACCTCCTTATATTCATCTCTTGTTGAAGTTTGCTTTGTTTCCTATTTTTGTTTTTAACAATTTATTTGAACTTCCATTCAATATCGGTAATTACAGCTGAATCGTTGTGCAAAATGTGGCTTGTATATTACAACCTGCCCGGATGAGACATAACATACAAGATATTAATATTATATTAAAAGTTCTTCCAGATTGGATGGGCAATATCGGTAGAAGTTACGTAAATAAAGGTTATATACCCCATATTACTCGTTACCTGGATTATTATTATTATAATCAAGGGGAAGCGCTAAACCCGGAGGATTATACAGCGCCTGGGGGGGGGGATGTGGAAGACATTCAGGCTTAATTCGGGGAACTGGAGCACAGATCCAATTCCCTAAATCAAGAGCCCCTCACCAACATCAAGGAACCTTCCTTGAGGGGCTCGTTACCTGGAGGTTATTCCGGGGATCAACGCCCCCGCGGCCCGGTCCATGACCAGACCTCCCGATGGATCAGGGCCTGATCAACTAGGCTGTTACTGCTGGCCGCACGCAGTCCAACGTACGAGCCACAGCCCGGCTGATCCGGCACTGACTCTAGGTATCTGTCCAGCTCTCTTGAAGGCAGCCAGGGGTTTATTGGCAATTCCCCTAATGCTTGATGGGAGGCTGTTGAACAGTCTTGGGCCCCGGACACTTATGGTGTTTTCCCTTAGTGTATCAATGGCGCCCCTACTTTTAACTGGGGGGATTTTGCATCGCCTGCCCAGTCTTTTACTTTCGTAGGGAGTGATTTGTGTGTGCAGATTTGGGACCATTCCTTCCAAGATTTTCCAAGTGTAGATTATATCTCTCCCTCCTGCGTTCCAACGAGTACAAGTCAAGTGCTTCCAAGCGTTCCCATTGTTAAGGTGCTTGACAGAACTTATACATGCAGTAAAGGATCTCTGTACACTCTCTAGCAGTGTATGTATGTCAAGCAGTGTATGTCAACAGTGTACAATTTGTCACTGTCCTAACCTTCAAGTGTCAAATATAAATCAAGTCAGCCGGAAAACGAGGTTGCACACTGAAATTTATAATTATAAACGTACAAGAAAGTATCATTTATGTGTTACTAGTAACACACAAATGATACTTCTTTCTACTGTTTAAGGAAGGAGCTTCAACTGCCAGTTATCAATACAGAACAAACTAATGATCAAGATAATGCTGTCCACTACAAATCGCGTTTACCCAATACTGGGTAAAAATTTAAATCTTCCCCCAAAAGCCATAAGATGAACAATAAATATACCAAGAATTCAGTACCAAAATCCACCTTTTATGGGACAGTAGGCCTACCGTAGCACTCCCAGTAATTGAGAAGGTTGAGTGAGCTTATACCAGCTGTGAAAGTTCTCTGTACACTTTACAGCTCGGCAACTTTAGCTTACCTTGATGGGCAAGCCGTTAGTCCACAGCAGTGCTCCAGCCTAAAGAGAACTAGTGATCCGAAGAGTATCATCAGTGGCTTGGCATCTCGTGTTCTGAAGGTTCTAGTTATCCAACCCATTTTCTTGACAGTTGCACTTGCCTGCACTCTAAAGGAGGGGTAAGGATGCTGCAGTTCGGAGGGTCATGTGAAATGCGATGTCAGCACACTTCTCTCAGAACAGGGAAGGATTGAATGACTGTGAATGCTTCCTCATTTTTGATAAACCCTACCTCAGTGGGAAACCATCGGAGAATTCTTCCTCCGTAAGCCAGGTGTGTCGTAAGAAGAGATATGTATATTATATATATATTATATATATATATATATATATATATATATATATATATATATATATTATATATATATTATATATATAATTTGTCCAACGTATTATTAAATTCTTCCCAAATTCTATTAATTATAAATGGATCTAATTTATATAAACCAAAGGATATATGCATATTATCAAAACTGCTTTTTATGAAACAAGATTCAATTATATTCCTGTCGACCATGGACTTTTGCTTGATACTACTTTCTCAACATTTTGAAAATCAATTGGAAGGTTAAAATCTCTTACATGAGTAAATAGAGCATTGGAATCTTGTCCAGTTCTAATGCTATATTTATGTTGTTTTAATCTTAGTTCGAGATTTTTACCAGTTTGACCGTAATAAACTTCATCGCAAATTTTACAAGGAATCTTATAGACACATCCATCAGCATTTTGGGGAAATTCTTTATCAAAAGTTTTTTTACCGTATCAATATTTTTGAATACAACTTTAATATTAAAAGTCTTAAGAAGAGAAGGCGTATCAACTAAGTTTTCATGGTAAAGGAGAACCAACATATTTTTAGTTGAATAAGGCTGGTTGTCCCTTTTTGGATTGTAAAAAGTATTTCTAGCAATTTTAAAAGATTTATTAATTACATTTCTTGGGTATTTCAAATCATTACCTATTTCATAAATTTTGGATATTTCCTCATCTAGGAACTCTGGACTACAAATTCGTAAGGCTCTCAAAAACATTGATGAGAAAACAGACAGTTTAACTCTGTCTTGATGGAAAGAATAATAGTGGACATAGGAACAGTTATTTGTAGGTTTTCTGTAAATTTTAAATTTAAATTCAAATTTGTAGTCCAGAGTTCATAGATGAGGAAATATCCAAAATTTATGAAATAGGTAATGATTTGAAATATCCAAGAAATGTAATTGATAAATCTTTTAAAATTGCTAGAAATACTTTTTACAATCCAAAAAGGGACAACCAGCCTTATTCAACTAAAAATATGTTGGTTCTCCCTTACCATGAAAACTTGGTTGATATGCCTTCTCTTCTTAAGACTTTTAATATTAAAGTTGTATTCAAAAATCTTGATACGGTAAAAAAAACTTTTGATAAAGAATTCCCCCCAAAATGCTGATGGATGTGTCTAAGATTCCTTGTAAAATTTGCGATAAAGTTTATTACGGTCAAATTGGTAAAAATCTCGAACTAAGATTAAAACAACATAAATATAGCATTAGAAC